CTGAAGTCATACAGCAAACTTCAGAGAGCTGCCATGAACCCAAAGGTTAGTTGAAATCAAAGGGTCAACTTCACTAGTGAGGGTTAAAGCAAAAGTCTGATAAGGCCAAAACTCATCAGATTTCAAAAGAAAACAAAAACCACACTTGAGCCCAGTTGGTTCCCCCTGACTCTCCAGGCAGAGCTTGGGCAGCAAGTGTAGGTTCCCAAAGCTCTCTGGGCTGGCTGTGAGTAGCAGCCCTTGGGCGCCGAGGGCTGTCTGACACCAAGCTGAGCTTACAGACCAAGGAGGTTAATGGTGACTCAGGCAGACTGGTATCAGTGCTGTGGGCCCAGTGCCTGGAAGGGAATCCATTCTCTCAAGGAAGTCACCATGTTCCCTCTTCTTCAGCCACAGATTTGGCCAGGAAAGTGAACATGACGTCCCTTATGGTCCTGGGGCTCCGATTGCTATTCATCAAGACTGTTGCTGTCAATTTTCTCTTGACTGCCAAGTTATTTTTCTTTTAAGGTAAGAATTAGCTATTTCATATTCCTACTTCCACCCAAACGTTGCTGCACATGGAAAAAAGAAGTTAAGGAATGGTAAAAGACAAAGCACTGGAACAGGAAAAATACAAAGACACATATTTCAAATTAATGAAGAGGATTATCTCAATACTCAGCATAACAACACCCCATCTCCAAGGGGCCACAGGTTATTTGCAAACCTATCAGTAAAGCTTTACCTAAAGCATATTCAGAGGCAGCAGAACCCGTTTTAGCCCAGACAAAGGGGATGCTAGCTCCCAATTTTTGATCATAGGCCTCTGATGTATAGACCAGCCTTTCATTGGGGTGAGCCTCTACCTCCATTAGTCATGAAGAGCCCACTATTAGCTACTCAGGATGCACACAAAGTCAAGGCTCAGACATCTTTTGCCAGGCATTACTTGCATTCCCTCTTCAGGTGAACTTAGATATGAAATTCAAACTGGGGTCTAAGTTTGCCTGTGAAGCTCCTTCCCCAATATGCCCAAATACTCCTCAGTCCCCACTCCTGATCTGAGAACAACCCTAGACTTGGAGTTTTGGACTAACCTGCCCCAGCCTGCAAGCATACCCAGTCAGTCCCAGACAGGTGACTGTTTTACCAGCAGGCCCAAGGACACAGGCCATGTGGCTGTATAAAGAAGAGCACTACACCAGGAGTCAGAAGATCTGGGTTTTAGTCCTAACTTTGTCACTAGCTCACTTCTGTTGCCTTAACCAGGGTGCTTCACCTCTCTGGGCCTGGGTTTTTTCATCTGTAAAACAAAGGATTAACTCCTTTTGACTCAGGGAGATCAAGTGGGTGTCATAACTTGTGGCAACACTGATGTACTGGGAGTGACCAGGTGAACTACTGTCATGTGTGGAAGGGAAATGTGCCAGAAGACATTACTGATGTCTGTGGTGGTACAGCCACAGCAAGTACCGGCCATCCCCAGACTACGGCCGCTACGATTCCTTCCAGAATTGACAGTCTATGATTCTACATCAACTCTTACAACTTTCCTTCACTTATAGGCCGACTGGCGGGAGAAGGCTACACTCCCTGAATGAAACCAAAAGCCTACAGAAGTGCTCTCTCTAAGGCTCCCGACTTCTCGGGGATTCAAGTTAACCCATCCCAGCCTTGCTTAAATGGCTGCTACCCAAACAAGTTTTTCTTTGAAGGCAACAATCCCAGCTCATCCTCCAGCCTGGTGGAAAGAAAAAGTCCTGGGGGTGGGGGTTGGTGACCCTAAGTGTTTTATATGCTGCTTTATAAATGGGTATAGAGATACAAAGGGACAGAGGGCTCGTTTTTTATTTCTACAACTGATACACTTTGAAAATGGTGTCTTGTTCCTTTTACTTGGCCTTCAGAAATAAAAAGTAGGAGCCAACAGGTTCCCAGCTCTGTTCTGCAAGAAGAAACAGACCTTGGGGGAAGGAAAGCAGGTGTCCTTCACCTAAACATGAAAGGCTCTGCTCAAAACCCAGCACTAGATTGGTCCCAAACAGGCATCACATCCACAAAAGCACTTTCGGCTCTTTCTACTACTTTACCAACAAAATGACATTGGATTCCCTAACACTCCCTGTAGGCAACAGGGTTTTAAAATCTCATCTAAATACTCTCCTAGCCATTCACAGAGATCAGAGTAAAAGACAGAGGAAATGCACATCTTTCTATTAATTGATTTAATAAACATGAGTTGAATCTCTTTAAATTCCAGGCACTGTGTTGAGGGTGCAAAGATGAAGAAGACAGGAGCCTGGCTTTTCAACAAACTCGCTGTGCAGGTTTTTTTGGAGGGAAGGATGGGAATAAGAGCCCTAGATTTCCCCTGTAAAAAGCAGTATCTTTACTATCTCCTGCCCGCCCATCTCTGTGTGAAGAGTTGGAAACCACTGGACACTGCCTCTTGCCTGGGCCCTTGGTGTCACTGTTTTTCTGCCATTTTCCTCTGACACTGCCTCTGCTGCATTTATTCAAGTGCATTGTGTGTGCCTCACCTCTGGCTTTACCTACTGCGGCCACTGCAGGGGGGAAGTGGGTGCTGTGAATTCACTGTTGGTCTGACTGAGCTTCTAGGTCACACCCCAGCTTCCTGAGCCCCCAGCCTTTAGGCCTCTGACTCCGGGACCCGCCTGTGGGTTTCCTGCTGTTGTTGTTTCTGCTGCAGCAAGTAACAACAACAGTGTCCCCACAGTGGCCAGTGAGCTCTGCTACTCCTGCCTCAGCAAGGCCACAGCTGTTTCCAGGTGCACCCATGCAGTTAGCAGAGCCCTAGCAACCCAGTATTGTGGTTTCCTCAGCACCCATGTGGGTGTCAAGTGGGGGCTTCTGAGGTTACAAGCAAAAGAGCACCTCTCACCAACAACTCCGCTGCCATTGCCCTTGCAAACTCCCACATCATGTTCTCACAGTCCAAAACAAAGACAGGAGGCATTAGCACTCTGAGTAAAGAATGCTCGTTTTCAAAACAATCTAGGTGAATAAATAAGGTTCATTCAGGGGGAAAACATGAAAGGATTCCACACAACTTCACCTTTTATGTGTAAAGGATGCTTGCTTTCAAAACATTCGTATCTGTTACCTTGAGTCACATTAAACTGTTTCTCTGAAATTACTAAGAACAAAATATCACATTCTCATCTTTCAAATGGGAAAAAAAATATGCCCCTGTGAAAAGGTACATACCTTGTCCAAAATCATCCAGTGAGGCAGGGGTATTGCTGGGAGCAGAACCAAGTTATCAAGAGTGCCACCCAAGTCCCTCTACAGTGGCATACCTCACGCCCTGAACAAGGACAAGGTGTTGATTTGAAGTTCAACTAGGCCAGATTGGCTAAACATAGTATTATCCTTTATTAATATCAATGAGCTACCCGCTGACCCACTTAGATCATCAGAAAAAAAGACATCCTAGCACATCTCAAGACCATGAATTTCTCCCACCAAGAGGAGCCTTCAGAAAAGACTGAGGGCAGGAGCCAGAGGGAGTAGTGGCTGCCTTCAGGTCTGGGGGTCATCACATTGTGAATTACAGTCTTCCAGAGCTTTCACAAGCTTCATCACAACAGCCCTAAGGGAGTCTCCAAGAGACTGTTACACACTCAGCAGGCAGCAGAACAGAAGCCCCAGAGTCTGAGTCATTTGGCCAAAGCCTTGGCTCCCTGCCCCTGTTCTTTTCCTTCCTCCCTGTAGTGACTGCTCTTCACCAGTCTGTTTTAAAGCCCAGATGAACTGTTGCCCAAACCACCTACTAATACAGCCTCCCAGGCTGCAGCTGCAAGACAGAGCCCTAGAAAGGTGGCACAGCACCTTAGCTCTGTCATTAACTATTTATCTGACCTTGGGAATGTCCTTCATCTTTCTGGGCTCAAGTGTGTTTCCCATAAAATAATGTCTGAGACACTACTATTTCTAAAATTACATACAACTCTAATATTTGTCTTATGGCAGGGAATTCAATGGAGGTAGGGGAAGGGGATCTGATTCCCAGGCTGAGGGTGTATCTGTTTTAACATCACATAGTTGTTTCCCTCCGGGGGTAGTTCTCTCCCCTGGAGACACTGCTGAGCTCCAAACTCAGGGACATTGAAACTGGGAGTCTGGAATTCACAGGCAGCTTTCTGGGAATGTCTTGATGCTCTTCAGGGGAAAAAAAATGTTCTCCAAATGAAGGAAGTTAAATGGAGATGTCAAAGGGCATCCAGGAGAAATAAGGTAGCTGCACAAGAAGACACAGAAAAAAAGGTAAATTGTGGGAAATGTGTTTAAATAGATAACTTTGTGTCCAACTTGATTCTTAAAAAGAATCACAATTCACAATAATGGATAAATAATGGAGACTAAAATAAAGACACTTCTGATGGATTTCCCCAGACTGGCCCTTCAGCTGCTGCATTCTGATGCCCTCACAGCACACACAGCACAGACTTGTCGAGCCCACGCTTCCCTCAGTCGCACAGCTCTCCTTCCCTACCGCAGGCCCAGGGCAGCAAGGGGACACTGCGTCAGGAAGGCGGAGATGCTCTGCTCCATTGAAGCCAGGGTGCTCCCCTGGACAGGACGGGCATTTTATTACTCAGCAGACATGTTAGAGCACCTCTGAAGGCCAGGTGGAACACAGCCTCACCAGGAAGAAGGCTGCCATGCCCAGGGACAAGAGCTGCTCTGAAAGACGGCTCTGCCAGGCCACGCCCAGGGGTTTCTGTGTAGACTTCCTGGGCACCTGCATCACCGTGGGGACTTACGGCACAGTAGTAAGTGGCTCTATCTTCAGTCCTCACTGAGGAGATCACCAAGTTGAAGGTTTGGTGGGTATGACTGCGCTGCACAGAAAAGCGACCCTGAGTAAAATCCGCATCAAGGACCCTAATGTTATCCCTGTAAAGGACAAACTGAAAGGAACGATCTGGCCTTATGCGGTACCAGTATAAATCTGGATCTATGTATTCGGAGTCATAAGTACAGGGCAGTGTCACCTCACTGCCACTTTCCACGATCTTCTCTGGGGAACTCTGGGTCACTTTTTCACACAGCATGCCCTTGTCTGTAAGAGAAATGAGAAAATAGTCAGGTCCTGCGCCCCCAGCCCCTGGGTCCAGCACAAGCCCACCCAGAGGGAACTCAGTGGGCAACGGCAGGGGAAGGACACAGAGATAAAGGTCAAAGGCAGAGAATAACCGGAAAACCCACGTGAGAGAGAAAGGCTCCAAGCCTTGGAAAGTCAAAGAAAGCGAAACGGGGTGGCAGAGCGAGAGGAACATCCACAGATGAATGTACTTACAGAGAAGCAAAAGGTTGAAGCCCACAATACAGATCATCTTCTTTTCATATCAGAGCAGAGGATATAGAGTAAAACTGGGGTCCTGGAACCTCACAGACCACCTTAGGGCCTCTGACAGGAGGGAAGCAGCAGGGAAATAAGAGAAGTCAGGCAGGCCCCACAGTCACGTGACTGAATTACTCCGCAGCAAAGGGTTCCCGCCCTGGAAATGTTGTTATTGTTATTTCAGTCCTCAATCCACCTGAAACTAGTACTTTGGTAAAAACACAATGAAAATAAATTACTTGTCAAAAAAAAAAAAAGAAAGAAAGAAAAACAGGAATAAAAACTGTAGAAACTCCAAACCGAACATTCACATGCTTAGGTATCAGATTGCTCTAAAAGCGGCCTTCCTTCCATTTCGGTACCCTGGGGTCTCCGGCTGGGGCTCCGGTCCTTGGTCGCACTCCGACATGGCAGCAGGGTCACACAGCACCCAGCACCCAGCACAGCTGCGCACACTGTACTCGATAAGCGGAACAAATGAAGGAGCTCCTTAGACAAGGCCCTTACTCCCCTGTATAAAGACAGCGTTAAGAAGGTCGGACAGCAGGGACTCTAAAATCGGTTCCCTCCATGAATTCTAGAAATCTTTTCTTTCCGATTCTTGAGGAGTGCCCTGGCCCTGAGAGGGCTCCCGCACTTCTCTTGTTGGGCCCCTTGCAGCACCCCTGCATTGGCTCCAGCTGAAAAATCCCCCCTACAGCAGAGCTCCCTGATGGGTAAACTGCAGTGAGCAGGTGGGATAGGAACTTGCTGAGACAGAGCTCTGTGGCGCCAACGGGGCTGGCCTGGGGGGCTGGAGTCCCTGCAGCCAGCTCCCCAGCCACGTGCCATACAAATGCCATTTTCTGCATAGACCAGGACAAGACCACAGTTGGGAGGCACGACCATGAAAAATAGAAGACTGACTAATTCATTGCTCCAAACCTAGGACTGTTTCTAAGGGTCCTTGTAGCAGTTCCTTTGACTCTCTTTCCCCTAACTCATCCGTAAGCCCTGTCAGTTCCACCATGAATATATCTCCAGTCCATCCACCTCCCTCATCCCCCAAACACTGTCATCCCTCGAGACCACTGGCTGGTCCCCCTGCTTCTGCTTCTGTCTCCAGCCAATCTCTTTGCTGGGTCTTTATGAAGGGTAAATGAGATGGCGCCAGCTGGGCCTCCTTTCCTGGGCCCGTAACACCCTGCAGATGGTCTGATCCCTGCCTCCTGTCCAGCCTCCTCGCACATCCTCTCCACCCTCTCTTACTCCTCTCAGCTGCTGTGGTCTTCTTGCCTGTCCTTTATCTGCCTCACTTTTCTAGCTGCCTGAAACTCTGGTCTGAGTTTTTCACAAATCTCAGCTCAAAAGTGCTCTTTCTCTGGCCACTCCAAGTAAATTAGTCACCACCTCCCACCCCCCGGGGTCACCCTCAATTACATCTCTGTCTTATTTTCTCTCACATCCCTATTTGAAATCATTGGATTTATACACATTTGTCATTTGCTTTTCCCATCTCAACACCCCCCAGCACACGCACACCATAATACAAGCTCCACGAGGGCAAAAACATGGTTATCTTTTCACTGATATATCATCCCCAGCCCCTAGGACTTTGTCTGCCACGTGATTGACAATCAAAAATACCTGTGGAATGAAGGAATGCAACTTTGCTCCCTCAAAAACTCACCATTGGCATGGAGAAGGTTGCCAGAAGGATTTATTTAGCAAATAAAAATATAAGACATCAAGTTAAGTTTGCATTTCAAATGAACAATAAAAATTAGTTATATTTGGGACATACTTAATATTTTTTATTATCTGAAATTCAAATTTCACAGCGCATCTTGTATTTGATGTGTGGCCTGGAGAATACCAAAAGTGAACACCAGGCCATTGGAAGCCCCCCCACGGACGCCCCCCAGAGGTGCTGTTCCACTGAGCAGCTGCTGCCCCGGCCTGCACTGCCACCTGCAGGCAGGACCCCCTCCACAGGGACCCAGACTTCTGCTGACAAAAGGCCACTTCTGCGCTTTCAGGTCTCTGACGTCCGTGGCCTCTGCCAGCCCTCACCCAGGCTCTTGGTGACTGTCCCTGTCCTAAATGTGTTCCCTAGGCTTGATATTTATAAGAAAGCCAAGGGGTCCCTCCTCATCTGGGTGGTAACAATTTTCAAATTAAACTGCTGTTCCTCTTCTGACTGCCCCACCTCAATTACACCTGACTGCACCTGAGAACAGAGGCAGAGCTCCAGACACCCTCACAAAGAGGGACATATCCCCCCGCCCTAATGTTCCACACAGAAGTTCAGACTCTGAGACCTCCTTGAGGTGGCAGAATCATGACTCTCCCCACCACAGCGTTCTTCCAACACACCTTGAAAGGCATCCCTTCAGGAAGGGCACCTCTCAGAACAGCAGCTCAGAGTCATGGCTAAGAATGAGGCTCTGTCATAGAAACGGAGAGGAGATTAGGAGTGGCCAGAGACTGGGGGTGGGGCCATGGGGGGGAATGAGGAGATTTTGGTCAAAGGGTTCAAACTTCCGGTTATACAGTTAATAAGTTCTGAGGATCTAGTGTGCCGCATGATGACTGTAGTTGATAATACTGTGTTATATACTTGAAAGTTGCTAAGGGAGAACTTAAATGTTCCCACTACAAAAAAGGAAATAGTGATTGTGTGATATGACAGGGGTGCCAGCTAATGCCACCATGGTAATCATTTTGCAATATATAAGTGCATTAAATCAATGCATGGCACACATTAAACTTATATATTATTACATGTCAGTTATATCTCAATAAAACTGGAAGAATTAAAAATATAATTACTTAACTTAAAAAACAATGTCTTGTTAAAAATACAATTACTTAACTTAAAACACAATGTCTTGTTCTGGAGCTAGACTGCCTGTGTTCACATCAGCTCCAGCATTTACTTCTGTAAGATGGAGATAATAATTACAGCAATGTACCCAGCAGTTGACCTAGAAATATTAGGCATTGCTGTCGCTATTGTTTTGTATTAAATAGGCTGATGAATATCGTTTCTGAGAGATTTATTCTCATCAGAGATGTTCAGAGAAAAGATGCTGAGTGAATCTGAAAAACAAAGTTGTGAGATCCGGCAAAAGACATGTTGATCAGTTGCAGAAAAGAAAGAGCATCACATCTTTAGTTTGCTGTCAGTGCTACAAGCCAGTCACTGGGCTCCTCGTGCCCCCAAGGCCTGAGCCAGCTGTGCTCTTCGCAAACCCATAAGGGCGCTGGAGGCCAGAAAAGTGCACCTGCTAGCCCACTGTCCCAAGTCTTCTAAAAGTTGCACAGGCTTTTTCATGAGAGACCACAATGTGCAACCGAGTGGCCCAAAGTTTTGGGATAAAAATGACTGTCAAGATTGAATGACCTATTACAGACTTATTGCCCTTGAATTTCTCTGCCCCATCTCCTTAAAAGCTACCAATATCTGCAGCCTGAGCAGCTCCCCAAGACAGACAGTGCCCTGGGCTACTTCCAGTAGCCAAAAACCACCACTCAAGATGGGGCCCTTGAACCTAGAGGGGCCCAAAGGGTTTTGTAAACAAAGCCACCCTTGTCCCACAGTTTGGATCTTGATCACTGCTACCACTCATGAAAGGGACTTTTCTCCCAGTTTCCACGGAGGTGGGCACACTTGTTTTTTACCTTGCAGCGCCCTCTACTGCTCTAATTAGCCCATCTCCATAAGTAAGTCATTCTGGATGTTGACAGAAAATAGGTCAGGGGAAGAAAATATTCTTTGTTCACAACTTAAGTCAAACAAAGCTGCTGCTTCTGTTCCCATTCCCCTTTCAAACCTGAGACTGGCAGCTGCTGCTCGGTCAGCCAAAAGGGCTCATTCTCCCCAGTCTCTGAAAGAGGACTGTCTTTGAGAACATGAGACAGCACCCTAAAAGGGTAGATGGACATTTTCCTGTCAACAAAATGCTTCATGCAATAACAAAGGACATAGGGAAATTTCTTTGGATGGATATGGACAAGTGCATCTCTTTTTAGTGAAAGAATAGAAGCATGATTGCAAAGGAAAAGCTTGAAAACATCTGAAAGTGCGGTCCTGGGGATGAGGGGCCTAGAGAAAGGGTTTCTGCATCCCTTTTTCCTGCAGCACATTCCATTCTGAGACCCCAGCACAGACCTGGGCTGATGGGTAACAGGAAGCGTGCTGGGCAGGGGTTGAGATCCAGCAGTCGTTCTCAGCCCCCAGGACCCCTGTTTTGGGGAAAAATCTTGCTGAAGGTCCTATGAGCAAGAACGAGAATGAGGACTCCTACCAGGTTTTGTTGCCCAGTGTTCTCTACAAAGCCAGCATCTGACAGAAAGCTGTGAAGAAGACAGGATACTCCATGGTGTTGCCATCACCACCTCTGGGCCACCTGTGGTCCAACCAGGTCAGTGATACCTTCCGTGATTGGGCAGTGTGGGACTTGGCCTGACTTTTGCCAACCAGATTTATCAAGCCTTCTGTAGGTTTTTCTCTCCAATTATCCCTCAGGGCAGGGAGGACAAACTGGTTATATCTCAATTACCAAGGACCAGCCATGGGTCGTGGCTCTCTGGAGCACTTTGTTAAGAAGGACTGTGAGGCCACCTCTAGACTCAGAGGTAAAGAATGATGTGTCTATTAGCAATATCTGCCGTGGGAGCAGGAGCAGCAGGTAACACCATGCCATCTGGCATTTGCCATCCCTGCTCTAGATGTCATCCCTGTAACGAGTCCCACAGAGAAAGAAGAGTCAGAGCCAACTCCCTGTTGGATTATCCTTTTGGTTAAGGGCACAGGTTTAAATACATTTCCCTTGTCTTTCTGGGGATCTTGTGAGTCATTTCCCCCCCATCAATTGTGTTGGCTGCAGCCTAAGAAATAAAATGTTAGAAATCAATTAAGATGCTCTGTATCTCTCTGGGAAATCATAAACTATGTGCCAACACCAAACACCTCCCTTGAGTGGCGCACCCCCTGTTTAACAGGTAGAATCAGACTTGGGTTGCTCAGCAGACCCTCTAAGACTGGGGACTACCCAGGCAAGGTCTTCGTTGTCGTGAGTCACA